TCACTTGGGGAAAATTATCAAAGCTTAAGCATACATATACATTCATTCAAACATGATGAAGATATAAAATCATGGTAACAACCAACAAAGTAAAGGCAAGCATGTGACAACATCAAGCAAAACAAATGACAAGGTTACAACCAAGTATTCATCCATTGAAGTTTGAATTAAACCAAATGGTTACAACCAAAGGTAAACATAGATGTTACAACATCTAAATGGCTATGAAATAAGGTTCTTACAAAGACCAAACATCATAGGAAATAATGCTTGATGCTCCTAAGATGGTAATGGAATCTAGGGGTCAAAATTTGGGGTATGACAAATATCATCATGTATCACTCATAATAGAGGTTATGTCTAACACAAAGTTGAGATAACAACTGTATTGTCTCATCGGTGATGTCTCACGCAACTCAACAACGCAGAGAATTATGAACTGATACTCACGTGAATATTAGACCTAAATCTATGCCTAGAGTTTAGAATCTAACAGATGTTCATCTTAGATCGAGTTTGAACCGTATATATTTATAGCAATTCAAAGTCATTAAGATAAATATTGAAATCAAAGATAAACATTGATAAAGATTTACAAAAGAGATTGTATACAATGATCAATAAATATACATGCAATCAAGATAAATTTACATACAAAACCCAAACAATAGAGGGTACAAACAAAAGAAAGAAGACGAACAAGAATCTTTCGGTTTGTCAACGTCGATTGAAGCAAATCCAACTTCGGATCATCAAGATATACACTCTAATGTTGTTATCTAAGCCTAAACCTCTAAAGAATATTTTCTGATCAAATGGGTGTAAAAAGTCCCAAGAGATACATAAAAAAATCTAAGACGAAATGAATATATACAAAATGAATTTTCCCAGCTTGCACTGCGAGCTTAATTTTATTTGCATGTGTTCTGGAAGCAAAATGATCAAATGCCTTAGAAAAAATATCTGAGCTCGCCTAGCGAGCGATAGCTCGAAGTGCGAGCACAGTTTGCTCAAGCTCACACAACGACCATGAAGCCAAAAACATTTTGGCTCTACAGTAAATTATCTCGCTCTCCCGTCGCCTTCAACTCGCACAACAACCTCGCTTTCACTTTGCACAGCGACCATGATAGAAAACTCGTCTCTTGTTTTGGCCACAACTTGGGAACCGTAACTCCAATTTACGTACGGTCGGAAGCGCTGAAAAGCTTATTTATAAGACAATGACTAAATATCATTGTTTGAATACCTACAAGAAATGAGATAAAAACAATCAAACTCAATGATATTTACACAGCAGTGCAATATATACAATGATATGTAAATTATACAAAATGTACACAAAAATTGGGAATTATCAACTGAAAACAAACGAATCAAGTCGTAGAGTGCTGATTATTCACTCTCAAAATAACAAAAATTTAGCACTCAACAGAAGGGAAAACCCATATAAGGAAGACAAAACATGGTGGTAAGAACGAGTTTCCTTATGAAGCTAAGAGTCGTCCGAAATGGGCCATAAGGTTACCTAGATTCTTGTAGCCACCTGCCTGTTGAATTTAGTCAATATGTATCCCACTACCCAAGGAACGTGGGAGATGACGTGCCCCATTATAGCGAACTGGAAGAAAGGGCCAATGAGGATAATCATCACATCCATAAGGGAAAATGATGTAATCATTATTGTATTCAGGTCTATATAGCTTCTAAAAATACTCCAATCGTAGGATTGTAAAAGGATGATTATTCACCTAGAAACCACATATACATAGCTTCTTAACGCTTAGTATGAGCTAGCTCTAAGAACCAGCAACAACCCTAAACACCACATACATCCTTCCAAATATATGTCCACCATTGTTATACGTTGTTAACAAGTACAAAATTCATTTAAAGATCTAATCATAAGGAAGTTAACTACTTATGTTAAATAAAGACATTACCGTGAATTTGCTCCAAAAGTACATGATGAAAAAGAACAACGGTAATAACAAATCTTGCTCTCTTAATTCGTGCTACATTTTTTCCTCCAACATCTGATAACAACACTCTTGTTTTTCTTCTCGTTAAATAAATATTGATTGTGGGGTCTTAGGTCAGAGAAGATAGTAAAAAATAACTCAATTTTATATTATATGGCATGTGGCAGCACTCGAGAGTTATTTTCCATTTTTCAAACTTTTAAAGATCTAATAAGTCTCTCATGGTTCATAAATATGTAGCCTTAGATGTTTTATTTCATTTGCCACTAATTTTGGTCATTTGGATTTCCATAACTTTAGTTGTGACAAAATACTATACAATAATTAAAATTAAGAATTGCGCTAAATAATTAAACAATTTGTCATTTTCATTCTTTGAATTTTCACAATCTTTCATTGCTTGTATCCCTTCTTAATAACTTCATGTGTACTTGCTTTGATTCCAATAAACCGCCTAAGCTCTAAAATTAAAGATATAACAAATACTATAAAAATTTGTCTAATTAGTGAGAAATAATACAAAGTAATAGATTAATCATTAACATTTTACATAGGCTTAACTCAAGAACTTCGTAACTACAATCAGAGGTTTTGTACAGTTTTAACTAAAGAACTTTTACCGATGTTTTTTTTAGGTTTATCTTGTAACCTTCAAATTCTTTATAAAAATATTACACAAAAGAATCACATTCTTAAATAAAACAAATGTAGCACAATACATGTAGAACACAAATATAAGAAATAATTTTTTCACTCTTTCGGTGTCAAGGCAACTCTAATGAAATGAAGAGAAGTCTCTTATATGCAGAAAAAATTTCGACTCAAAAAAAAAAACAATTCATAAATATTTTATTATTTTAATTAATTAATCCTAACTGTTTAATCGATTAACAAATTAAATAAGAAAAATTTGAATTTCGATGTCACCTATTGGTTGTAACGATACTCCAAAGAGGACAATAATAACTTTGAGGGTGCAATAATATTAAGTGTAATTTTTAGTAGAATTGTAGGAAATGAGAATTTAATAAATAAGATGTTTTATTAAAAATCCATATCATCGTAGGGAAAAGTGTCACCCTACCATTTTACTGATGATTTAAACTACGAGTAAAAAAAATAATTCATAACAGTATACTAAATCGCCTTATCAGGTTCGAAAGTAAACATTTCTTACAACTAAATCTTTTAAAATCCTGCCTACCAAAATCTTATAATTTTTTACAATCCTTCCTTCAATATTTATCATTTGAAAAAGTTCTAAGATTCCATACCTAAACATTAGAAGTTTGATTTTACGAGGGCAAGCTATATTGTCATATTTTATGATTTTCAACTTTAATTGTGTGACATCACTATCGCATGATTTAAAAAAAAAAAAGAAGTGGTGGAAAAATAACTCAACAGTAAATAGACAAGCATATATTCAACTTTAAAAATGGTTAAATTAAAAATTAATTTTGGTGAAAATAAAAGGACAAAAAATGCATTTAAGAGAAACTTCTAAATTATATACACTGTAGGGGTAGGTTTGCAGTAATCTCTAGCTGCAGAGTGACAGTGATTAATGACGGAAAGATAGTTTCTTTAGCGCGGTAGTTAAGTTTTGTTTATTTGAAAATCGAAAAAATAATAATAATAAAAAAAGAAAAAGCTGAAAATGTCTAATGGACTGCAACTAACAAACTAAGAAGGAGACGCCATAACTCTCTTCACATTTTCAAAATCAACGCACACGCATTTCCACCACAAACAAACAAACAAACACTCACATTCTCTTTCTCTCTTTTTTCATTCTCACTTTCCAACTGTATTTTTCTTCACCTCAACCGTTTTCAAATCTTCTTGCATTGCTCTGCTTTTCAATTTCAGATCGCATTTCAATGGTGAAGCAACGTTTCACATGCAATTCTCATATATTTTTCCTTTTTTTCATATATAATTTGTATCGTTTCTAATTTTCAGATTCTAGTTCCGAGCACGGAATCGAGCACCAGAGCTTCCTGAATTACTACTCTTTACATAAGGTTATATTATCATTGATTAATTATTGATTATTGATTATTAATGATAGCTTAAATTTGATCTAGATTTTCGTATTAGATGAGATAATGCGATAATTTCCTTGTGTTTGATCGATAGTAATTACTGAACTTCGGATTTGAATTTGTGACCTTCGGTTTTGATTTTAATGGTTTCTTTCTAAACACGGAAAAATATGCTATCATGCTAAGGAACTTAGCGATTTTGACTTTGTTTTTTGGATTTATTAATACTGTGATATTTATTTTCATTTTCTGATTCATGTACTATTTTTGGAATTTCGTTCAAGATTTGTTTGGATTAAGTTTGGCTTGCTAAATTTAGTAGAACTGAAATTACTCCAATAATAATAAAAGATACAACAGCTATAGGGTTTTTAGTAGTATTATTACATCCATTCAGTTTTTTTCCCTTTTGATAATCGGTATACAGTTTTATTTCTGAATTTCTCAGCGCACAAAATTTGTTAAGAATCTTGTTTAAATAATTGAATCCCCAGATTTTCTCACCGTGTTGGTAATTTTTTTTTTTGTACTGATTATAATTTTAATTATGTCCCATGTGAGGGAGAATTTGACAGCGTGTTTTCTTGTCTAGGGAACTATCCCAGAAAACTCCTAATTTTCTATTAGAATACAATATGCAATGTATTTTGACATCAAAGTTGTATTAAAAGAGTTTGTGATGTTGGCCAATTTCTATTTGTTCCCCTGAATAAAAAATTGCATGAATGTTATCACTCTTTTGTTTTATTTGTTTGTTTATGAGGAGGTAACCTTGGATGATCTTGTCGCTGCAGATAATGATTGGGGCTTAAAAGTTGCGGTGGACCGTGTGTTCCACACCATCCCAAGTCCTTACAAAATAATAGTACAGGCTTTGTGACACAACTTGAAATGCAATAAAACTATTGAATGGCAAATTGGTGTAGTTGGAATTGAAGGTTTTGAGAAAAGGGGAGAAGGAAGTGAGAAGATGGGTTCCAATTCAGGGGAGGAAGGAACACTAGGATCTACAGGAAATGAGGAGAGAATTCTTGTTTCTGTTCGGGTGCGACCACTGAATGATAAGGAGATAGCAAAATATGATCTGTCCGAATGGGAATGCATTAATGATACTACCATCATGTACAGAAGCAACCTTTCAGCTCCTGAAAGGTCTCCGTATCCAACAACCTATACATTTGGTATGAAGAGACTTATCTTACAAATTTATAAATAGATTTATTTACTTGGTGTTTGCATGATAGCTTGTGATATATCTGAAATTCCAAATTCTGATGGCTTTTGACTGAAAATCATCACTTTTTTTATTTGGTAATAAGTTCATGAAAAACATGCATTTTATTTAATTTATTTTCAAGTTACATTGCTGCCTGATTCGTGTATGTATACTTTCATTTGTATGAATGGTTTTTTATTTATAAGATTAGGCTGAACTGAATTAACTTGGAGAATACAATGGCAAATTGGGAATCACCATAAATCATAATGAATGTTGATTACACAAGTTCCTGGAATGTTGTGAACTTCAGACATGGCTTTAAAATCTTGTCTGGTTCTTTGTTCAGTCTTGCATGTTATGTAGTTAAGATTTTCTGCGTTGAAGGAAATTGTGTAATGTTATAACCTTGATTGATGTTGTTCTGGCATGTATTTCATCAGATCTTAAAATTTTAATTACTCTATTTGCTTCCTTTTTTGATCCACCTTCATTTCTTTTCGCTGTAGACCGAGTTTTTAACACTGATTGCCCCACAAGGCAGGTGTACGAAGAAGCAGCTAAGGAGGTAGCTCTTTCTGTTCTCAATGGAATCAACTGTGAGTTTTTCTTTCTTCCCTTAAACTGGCTTTCCTCCATCATATGCATCCGTCCACGAGCTTCTACATTAACATCTTTACCGGGGCTTATTGGGTGTTTGGTTATCTATTTGATCAGCTAGCATTTTTGCATATGGACAAACAAGCAGTGGAAAGACATACACCATGAGTGGTATAACTGAGTACGCTATAGCTGACATTTTTAATCACATAGAAAAGGTATATGAAACTGAACATATTGCTGCATCATCTTGTCATTTTGAAAACCTTGTTTTGATTAGATTTTTTTTATAGCACAAAGAAAGGGAGTTTGTCTTGAAGTTTTCAGCAATGGAGATCTATAATGAATCTGTCAGGGACCTCCTTAGTAACGACACTACACTTCTCAGACTTCTTGATGATCCTGAGGTGAATATCTTTACCAATTTTCCAGAAATGGTCATGTGTACGAAAATTTGCTGACAGTTTGTCTTTTAAACAGAAAGGCACAGTTGTTGAGAGACTCACCGAGGAAACTTTGCGTGACTGGGACCATTTTACCGAACTTATTTCTTTTTGTGAAAGTAAGGACTACAGATAGTTATGATTATTCTTGCTTCAACAGAGTTTTTCATACTGTCTTCTTTATATGCTTTTCTTGTTTTTTCTTCTTTACAATCCTTTTTCCAGCTAGACCTGACTGCATATACTTATGCAACAATTTTTTCAGCACAACGTCAGATAGGAGAGACATCTTTGAATGAAGCCAGCTCCAGATCACATCAAATTCTAAGACTGGTATGTGTGTTCCTATGTTTGTTGAAGGGAAGTAAAATCGTCCATTACCTCATTTCTTACATTGCCTAAATAATGTTGCTTTTCAGACGATTGAAAGTTCTCCAAGTGAATTTCTGGGAAATGACAAATTGAGCTCTCTTACTGCTTCTGTGGTATGACTGATTCACACCTATTAAATGAAAATAACGAGAATCACTTTATTATGTTTAAGTATCGCAATTGGAAATCAAAAAGATAATATTAACTTTCCTGGATACAGAATTTTGTTGATCTTGCTGGAAGTGAGCGAGCATCACAAACTAATTCAGCTGGTACGAGGTTGAAGGAGGGATGTCACATAAACCGTAGTTTACTGACTCTAGGAACTGTCATCCGCAAACTCAGGTTAGCGGAAATGGTTGTACTTCAACATATCTTTATTCACACAAATGTATACTGTCTCCATATTCTTTCAGTCTTACTCACAACTTTAACCTATATGCAATTGTCCTTTGGGGGAGTTTGAAAGAGCACAGGCACATTTTTTTTTATTTAATTACCGTTTTGCAAGATTGTTCTCTGCTTTTACCACAGAAGATTATAGGCAGCAAGTATGAGTATTGACAAGCAATGGAAGAAACACTGATTTACCATAAATGCCCCAAACTCTAGTGCATCCCTTTACCATGAATTTACATTCTTAGAATCTTATTACGCATTACTAGTGAATTAATTTCAAATAAAAATATGATGAAACTCTTTCAGACTATCATAAATTTATTAAAGCTGTTTGATTTATTAAGAATGTTATATACTCTTTGATAACAGCAAGGGGCGAAATGGACACATCCCTTTCAGAGATTCAAAACTAACCCGCATACTGCAGTCCTCAATAGGAGGCAATGCTAGAACAGCAATCATATGTACCATGAGTCCTGCACGGAGCTATGTTGAACAAACCAGAAACACCCTCTTATTTGCATGTTGTGCTAAAGAAGTGTCAACTAATGCAAAAGTCAATGTAGTGATGTCTGATAAATTGTTGGTCAAGCAATTGCAAAGAGAGTTGGCTAGGCTGGAAGGAGAGTTGAAAAATTCAAGTTCAACCCGCCGCAAACCTGATTCTGCCGAGTTGCTGAGGGAAAAAGACCTCCAAATTGAGATGGTAATATCAAGATTTCTGCAACAGATTCATTACTTTTTATGCAGTACAACTTTTTTCACTTCTATGATATTTAGTCAAATTTCTAATTTATATATCATCCACAATGTTATAGTAGTATTAGTTATTTGCTTGTTCTTGAAAAGTTGTAAGGTAGTAGGTGTTCTCACGGTTGTTGCAACTATTTGTTACTGTTCATTCACTCTCTGACTGACTTTAAATATTTCAAAGTTGTCAGACAAGTATTCTTTTTATTATGTATATGGTTACTGAAATTTTTTATAAAACTAGCACATGTGTTTTGTTTAACAAGGAATGAGACTAATTTACTTACTTTTGGGAACTGTTTTTTTAATCTGTAAATATGGACTACTATCTGTGCTTGCAGTTAAAGAAAGAGATATTAGATCTGGCTATGCAGCGGGACCTTGCTCACTCTCAAATTACGGACATGCTTAAAGTGGTTGGAGACGATATGTCCTCAAGTGATATGGTTAGTGTACTTGTGTACTCTAAAGTATTAAAGTTAAGCTTCCTATACAATTTAATTTATGTTCAAACCAATTTTCAGGAAGGTTTGGGTCTTCAGTATCCCAAACTACGTGTGCGATGCTCAATGGACTTTGATAATCAAATAGAGGAACCAAATTTATTAGGTTTTGACATCATGGAGACTGTAAGATCTTTTGATGCTTCTCAATATTCAGATGGACATAGTGTAAGCTCCGAAGAGAACTATTTCCAGCTCCCTAATTTGGAAAAGAATCTTCCCATCAGGATTTCTTCTCGAGCGCTGTCAGTTGTAAGTCATGATGATGAAACAAATGATTCGGATCAGAATATAGTTCAAGAACAGCCCAATGATAAATTAGGAGACAGTTGTATAAAAGTTAGGTGCGTTGAGTCGGAAGATCCAATTACAAACACAGATACACTTTCAAATCCAGCAAGTTTGAGTCCAAATAGAGACACAGACTCGAATGCATCATCTCCGGGGGAAACTACGGTTGTCTCGGGATTGACAGAAGTTGATAACATAGACAAAGAAAATCAAGACTTGTGCTCATCTCCGGGGGAAACTACGGCTGTCTCAGGATTGACAGAAATTGATAACATAGACAAAGAAAATCAAGACTTGTGCTCATCTCCGGGGGAAAGTACAGCTGTCTCAGGATTGACAGAAATTGGTAACATAGACAAAGAAAATCAAGACTCGTGTTCATTTGGGTTAAAGGAAAGTAAAGAATTGAGTCACTTTCACCATGCTTCTTTTCTACCGTCTTCAGAGAAAATAAGTCCATGGATGCTTGGAAAAAGTGTACCTAGTTCTAGAATCTTGAAATTGACCAGAAGCAGAAGCTGTGCAGCAAGTCTCATGAAGGGTTCATCTTCCTGTTGGTTTGACGAGGAATATGATAGGAGGACCTATCCACTAAACTTTAATCCCAATGCTGAGAGGTTATCCTGGTCTGGTTTTGGGTATTGTGTGAAATGTTCTACATGTGACATACAGAACGTGAAACCATCATTTGATATGGAAATTGATGATGGTGATTTATCCCCGGTAAGAAGGGAAAAGAAAGAAAATGAAAGTTCAAAACCACCGCCTTACCGTAAGGTACGCTTCAAATATTCACCTTCCTTTATTTGTTTCAGTGTCTTTCTTATTGATCTTATATATATATATATATATATATATATATATATATATATATATATATATATATATATATATATATATATATATATATATATATATATATATATATATATATATATATATATATATATATATATATATATATATATATATATATATATATATATATATATATATATATATATATATATATATATATATATATATATATATATATATATATATATATATATATATAGCTGCCAAAACCAATGTTATAATATTGAAAACTTTCAGCTAGTTATTCTTTAAGTTGTTTTGCATGGCAGGTTTCGGGGTCTGGAGTTGAGTCAACTGTTTCTGCCAAAAAGTTCAAAGATGCTGGGTCGAACACATTACAATCTGGTGAAGAAAAACATTTGGAATGGTCTTTAGAATTTAAACGGCTGCAGAAAGAGATTATTGAACGCTGGCATTCTTGTAATGTTTCATTGGTCCACAGAACTTACTTTTTCCTTCTATTCAAAGGGGACCCTTCAGATTCTATCTATATGGAGGTAGAACTGAGAAGGCTATCCTATCTCAAAGAGAATCAAATTTTGGAAGATGGACGAACCCTTACCCCTGAATCAAGGTAATAGTAATATTTCATGCATTGTGCTTAATTAAAATTTAAAAGTTGCTTTTGAATTTTTACTTTAATTAAAGCTTACATTGTGTAATAGCAAACCTATAATGTCATGTGCTTCCTTTGCAAACAGCAAGAGATATCTTCGACGAGAGAGACAAATGTTGAGCAGACAAATGGAGAGGAAGTTGTCAAAATCCGAAAGAGAGAACATGTATTTCAAGTGGGGGATTAGTATAAGTTCAAGGCATAGGAGGTTGCAATTGGCTCACCGCCTTTGGTCAGAAACAAATATAGACCATGTTAGAGAGAGTGCCACCATTGTTGCAAAGCTGGTTGGTACAGTTGAGCCAGATCAGGCTTTCAAGGAGATGTTTGGCCTCAACTTTGCACCACGGCGCAGAAGAAAGAAATCTTTCGGTTGGACATCCAGTATGAAGCATATTTTGTGAGAGCGATGTTGGAACAAAATCACTTTATAGGAAGTTTGATTGGGCCATGTACAAATTTTCCCTGGCTTCATTAAACATAAGGAAGATATTATATTACCCATTCTATTAACAATATGATCTCTACGTTTCTGAGTTCATTGGATGTAAAAAATATTACTCGGAATTCAAATATAAACAAAAATAGTTGTATTTGATGGACTAAAATGTGAGCAAAATTCAACCCAACTTAACCGTATTTAACCTTATTATTCTCCATACATCACATGCTTGTCCCCCTAAATCCGTCCATGTGCCTACCAATCTTCTTTTAGAAGATCTTCCACATAAATTCAACATCTATTAAACTTGATAGAAAGTTATCAAAATATAAGTGGGAAAAGACTCCAATGTTGTGAGAGACATACACTTTTTAATTTAGTGAAGTTGTTGACACTTTTTGATTTAGTGAAATTGTTGAAAATATTTCATTTAATAATTATTTTTTACAACAAATAGAAAGTAAATTGGTATTAACTACAATTAGGGCTGGAAATGAGTCGAGTCGAGTCGAACTCACCTCAGCTCGGCTCGACTCATTAAGAATTTTTCGAGTTCGAGTTCGAGTTCGAGTTCAACACGAACTTTTTTTTAAGCTCAAACTCGACTCGTTATGAATTGTTTCGAGTTCGAGTTCGAGTTCGAGTTCAACACGAACTTTTTTTTAAGTTCAAACTCGACTTGTTATAAGTTCACGAGGTTCAACTCATTAGGATCAGCTCACATGATTCACGGGCTTAAAAACTATTTTTTTTAATATATATATATTTTAGTATATTTGACATTTTAAATAAATATATTTTTTTTAAAATAAAATATTAAAATAAAATAAAAATTATCATATTGAAATTTAACTTTATCTTCGAAATCTACTAATTCAAAACTTACACAACTTTCAAGAGATACATTTGAGAGTCTAATTCAAAAACTACTAAGTTGAAGATTAAATTTGTCTAAGATTTAGATTAAATATTTAAACCTAATCTTAAAGACAGTATAATTATTCTCATATGTAATCGAGTTAACTCATGAACCTAACGAGTCGAACTATGTAGAGTTCAAGTTCAGCTCATTTAGTTAACAAACTTAATTTTTCGCTCATACTCAACTCATTAGGTTCATGAACCTAGTTCAACGATCTAATTGTCGAATCGAATTTCGAACTATTTTCGAGTTGGTTCGGTTCATTGCCAGCCCTAACTACAATGTTTGAAGTTATTAGTGTAACATCTATAAAATTAATGTTTTTGGTAGTTTCTTTTTATTTGAAACATGCTCAACAAAAAATTATACGGACATTAGAAAAAAGTTAGACAGTTGTTTATCTTAAAACAGGTTAATTTCTAAAGTTATTCTTGTCATTTGCCATGATGAGAACAATTCAAATTATATTTCCAACTTTAATTAATTTATTATGTAAATTTAAACTTCGCTATCTTGACACTTATTTATATATCAAATACTTACAACAACACCGTATTTATACAATTGACAATATTTTTCCATTTTTCCATTTTTTTTAGAGATGGCATAAAAAAACATTATTTTTCTACTTTTCCATTAATAAGATGACGGTTATACTAGATGTCGTCGTTTGCCTTCTACACCTTCCCATCAGGGAGAATTGTTACTTGATCATTCTATGATCAAACGTGATGAAGCGCAGAAGATGATGGTCATTTTATAAGGAGGTGACCTGATGGATGTCTTGATGAAGTGTGAGAGCACCAGAGATACTCATGCCAAATTTTCATACTTGAAGAAGCTTTATGGAGAAAATTTGGAGTTAATCGAAAATGCCGATGACGATGATCTACATGTTACCTATCACCGAGTGTGCTTTGAGGTGTTTCTCTTATTCTTGATTGACACGTCCATGTTTGTGGACAAATGTGCAATCTACGTCAATGTGACATATATCTTAAGTACTTCATCAACTTGTCGATCATTCACAAGTGGAACTGAGGGGCCACCTGTTTGGTATACCTGTACTTCAAGTTGAGCGAAGGCTCTCTTTGAACGACAAAGCAAATGACGAGCTATTGCACTCTGTTGACGGTAGTTTCCATAGCCACTAATAATTTTAAAAGTACATTTTTTACACTCGTTAATAATATTTTTTTAATTCATTTTTCAGCGATGCATCTTATCTCACTTTCAGCGTATACAAGGGTTTGATTGTGTGGTAGATTATACTGAGCCTTGGGCACGTGCTTTGCATGTATTGCTTGTGCAGAGGGAATAATGTTATACAACTATTTCGTGTGTATATTGACTGAACTCAACATGATGTCATCGAATGGACATTATACACCACTTGATCTAACATGTCAATCAAAGTAGGTGAATGACCAGAAACACCTCCGCGGTCTTGAATGGTCGACGGAGATGGGGGTGTGCCTGCAGGCACTCCGATACTTAAGTCAGTTCGGGTGAAGAAGTGAGTGAGAAAGGGTTAAAAATAGAATATATGACCCTCCTGCAGATGAGGGTTTTATAGTGAGCTCCTAGTGCTTGGCCAATGGTCTCCCTTGTGGGCTGAGTGTTTAGGCCCACAGCGGATGACTGTTAGGACTTCCACGTAAAAGTAGAGACGAACAGCTCGTGTTCATCGTCTTGGGTCAACCATTCCGCACACCCTGGATAATGGATGGACTTGCCCGTTACGAAAGGAAGAATGGTTCCACGAGGCGTGCAGGTTAGTTGGTGGCGTGTCCTCGGGTGAGGGGAACGTGTTCTTCATTGGTCTTAACGGGTTGGGTCAGCACTCTGGGCCGTCCTCAACGTAGAACTGGATTGGGCTATGCTAGACGCTGGGTCAGCCAAAGGCCCAGTCCAGAACAGGAGCCCTCCAAGTCGTTTCCCCTAGACATGGGGTCAATGACTTAGAGTCAGTCTGTGTGTCGAGGAGGAGAAAGGGACTCTACGTGAGGAAAGCATTCATTTGGAGTTCGCAATTGTGAGCTCGCGCCACCGTGGACGTTGTTCGCGAGTTCACGCCCACGGGGGCAATGCTTTGCTCGCGACTCGTCGAATTTCACTTTCGAGGAAGATGCGTCACGCAGGGACTGTGGTTGAGAGCTTAACATGTGCTCGCGTTGAGCATTTGGCTCTGCTAGCGAGTTGCCAAGCTTCTCATAAATTTGCTTCAAATTTTTCGCTGGGGCCATGCTAGCGAATGAATTCGAAAGTTCGTCGCTTGTGTTCGAAAAAGGGTACTCGACATCTTGAGGTTCGGAAGGTTGACGGGACTTGAAGAGACAAATGCTTCGTCTCCTCGAGCCACATGTTATATTCATTGAATGCATAATAATGACCTATGAGTAGGGGTACTTATGAGCTAGGCGGCGACATATTTACCTATTCCACAAAGTTAGCTTATAAATAGGAAGAAGTGGAGGGCTATTTGCATATTTCGCTCCATTTTTTCCTTTACCTTCCTTTGAGCTTCAAAGCAATGTCTCCGTCGTCTGCCATCATTACCGTCACCGTCACCGTCACCGTCACCAACCTTCATCTAATCTTCAAATCAAGTAAGTTTTCTTTCTCTTCCAGTTTGCGTGTTAGTTTTAGAATGTAGATTAGCTTTCTCTGCATGTTTTGTTCCGGCGGAAGTTGGTGTTTGGTGGAGGTTTGGCCATTTCTAAACACCGGCGGTTGGGAGGGTTTTTGTGTTAGAAGCGTGGTTTTGAGTAGGAAAGTTAGCATTTGCGTGATATCTCTAATGAAATCACTTCGGCTCCACTGTTAAGGCGGTGAAAAGGACTTGTGCTAGTGGAGCTTATGAGTTTTCCGATGAAGCTCCGTGTCGAGGAGGCTCTTCCTCGCGAAGCTCAAAAATTTCTGATGAAACTTCGTGCCGAGAAGGCTCTTCCTCGTGGAGTTTATGAATTCACGATGAAAAGTCACGTATTTTCTCATGAGGCTTTGCGTCAAGGGGGCTTTTCCTCATGATTTTGTTGATAAGTCGAATGAGACCTCCGTCGAGGAGAAGATCCTCACGATTCCCTTTGCTTGCTATTGAATAAGGGCTTTGGTCGAGGGCAGCATCCCCATGCATGTCCTCTCCCTTTCACATGATTTGTAGTGGAAGAGTGGATTTTATTTGATCGTCGAATTCACTATTGTCGGCGTCATGGACGGGAGAGAGAACGGTTTCATGACCGTCATTGTTGTCGTCGTATTGACATGCCATGATTTGTTTTTTAGGTTTTTTGTTTTGATCTTTTTGTTTTAGGGAAAGAAAAGATGGGGAAACAAACTTCTCACATATGGCGTCACTGATCTAACTTGTCGATCAGAGTAGGTGAGTGGCCAGCAACATGTATGCAGTCTTGAACGGTCGACGGACAAGGGGGTGTACCTGCAGGCACTCTAATGCTTAAGTCAGTTCGGGTGAAGAGGTGGGTGAGAAAGGTAAAGAATGGAATACATGACCCTTCTGCAAATAAAGATTTTTATAGTGAGTTTCCAGCGATTGGCCAACGGTCCTCCTTGGGGATGAGTGTTTAGAATCACAACGGATGACTGCCAGAACTTCCACGTGAAAGTAGAGACGAACAGCTCGTGCTCATCGTCTTGAGTTAACCGCTATGCACACACCGGATAGTGGATGGACTTGCCCATTACGAATGGCAGAATGGTTCCACGAGGTGTGTGGGTCAATTGGTGATGTGTCCTCAAGTGAGGGGCACGTGGGGAACGTGTTCTCCACTGGTCTTAATGGTTTTGCCAGCATTCTGCGTCGTCCTCGACGTAGAACTGGATTGGGATGTACTCGACGCTGGGTCAGGTACAGACCCAATCCAAAACACCATTCGTCAAGACATTATTGCCTTCTGTCGCTACTGCGAAAATCGGCGCCGGCTGACAGAAGAGTCGCCACCGTGCGTTATTTATCCCAACGAAGGGAAAGGAAACGCTCGAAGTAAACCTCGCAAAAAACGGGAAAGGTATGGTCATCGCAACCAAAACCTGGATTCGGGAGTCGGTTACGCGAGGGGAAGGTATTAGCACCCCTCACGTCCGTCGTACTCGACGGGATCCACGCTTGCTTGGTTTGTCTAAAGGATGCAAACAATCTATCTACGGCTGCTAAATCTAAACGAAAGGGAATTGACTCGATAGAGCGTCGCACTCTATGCCTACGTATTCTCAAGAGAGAAAGTCAGAGTCAACGTAGTTCGGGACTACGGGGAAATTGGCTCGCCAAGACTTCGCGTCTTGTGCCTACGTACTTCCACACTGCATGGAAGATCAGAGCTTACGTAGTTCAGGCTAACTACGGCTAGACTGGGTGTTCTCACACAGGAGTGAGAAATCAAACTGGTTTCAAAGGTATGGGAACCTATGGGAAAAACTACGGTCTGGTCTCAAATGCGCTCGGGCAAGAGAAAGGGATAACATCAGTCGTCAGCGGGGAAAGTCTCGATCGCACAGCAGCGAGAGAACAAAAGGTTAGTGGTTAGTGTGCTCGCTAGGATATCGCATCCTATGCCTACATATTCTCGTCTGGTACGAGAAATCAGAGCAGCTGTAGTTCGGCTACTTCGGGACCACAGCTCAAATCTCGTTTTATTGATATTCTGAAAATGATTACAATGCTTGAATGCGGGAAATAAACTCCTAGAAAATACTATCCTATCCAACTATCTTGGAAAAAATCAAATGGAAAATAGTCCCCTAACAAGTGGACTTCTAAAACTATCTCTAAAAGTGTAAAAAGTCCCTAACAAATGGACTTCTAAAACTACCTCTAAAAGGTAAAATAAACTCTATGAAAAAAGGTCCTAAAAGAACTGAAGTGAAGCTGAATATTTTTATCTTCTTTTTCTCAATATTTCTTTTCATGTATTTCTTTTAATATTTCTTTTTTCACTTTTCTTTATTCTTTTTCAAATATATTTTTTCACTCTTTTTCTTTTCCTCTTTTTCAATATTCTTTTCATATTTTTCATCTAAAAACTAAGAAAATATTACAAAAGAAATTAACCTAAAAAACTAGAACAATGCAGCCAGGGGGGTGTAATAGTTCAGCCAGGGTATACAAGCCTGCAGAAAAATAAAACATAAAAGAAGGGCCCAGCCCAACAACTGTTGCTGCAAAAAATGGAGGGGGGGGGGCGTGAAGGGAAAAGGGGGATGTAGTCCAGCCAGAAAAATGTTGGGCTCAGGCCCACTTCACCAAAGAAACACACGGGGGGAGGTGAGGAAATTGAAGGGGTGTACGGATGGGTCTGAAAGGATAATGGGCCCGGCCCACTCCTTCTTCCTCTTCCCACTCTCAGAGAAACCCTAGTTTGTCATCTCTCTCACAGCGCCGTCATCTCCAACACAAATTCATCGTCGCCGGTAAAAACTCCCCGCAACCTCAACCGTCCACTTCAACTCAAACTCCTCTCAAACTTTCTCTATTAAACCTTCACGAAGGAAACTCATTCGTACCACTCGAGGCGAACTGAACATCCATGGATTCGGACAAACTGTTTGACAGATGACCTCTAATGGAGTTGTTTTGCGCACCCTGGATCCTGATTAGCATGTCGAAGAGTCATAGCTCTGAAGGAGTTGGTTCCCGTTTGGTGGAAGATCTTGTTGAATGTTGAAGGATCTTAGAGCGCGAAACTTCGTTGTTGTGATGGTAGCCGAAGCTTATCCGTGGTGAGTAATGAAGTTTGATCTGGAGATGGGGGGTCGTTGGAGAGTTTCGGATCCTGAGATCTGTTTGCATGTCGAGTTTATTATTAAAGATCTTGACGAATCTTACAGTTTGTTGAAGACCTGGGACGAAAATCGTTGATGGACACTTGCAGAAAGTCTGACGAACAATCGGAGGTGACGAAGATCAGAAGACATGTTGTTGCGTTGATGACCTGGTGAAGATCGTTGCAATTCTTGATGAATGCGATGGAAATCGGTTGAAGATTTATGGATCTTGACGGATCTGGAAACACATGAAGATTTATGAAGAACTGAACAGAATTCTTGATGAACGGTTGATGAATGTTATGGATCTGGAGGGTTCTGGAAGAAAATGAATTGGGGATCTGGAAACGAATTCGAGAATATGATGAAGATCTTCAACGATTTCTGGAAAGCGGGTATGGACTCGTGAACGTGAAGATTTGGATGAACGTTCTTGAAGTCTGATGAACGAGTCTGGAAATCTGGATGAAGTTTCTTGCATTTTCCGGTGGATTGATGGATTTTCCGGTGAAATCTCCGGCGAGGCATGAACATTGTAGGTGAGGAAGATGAAGATTGATGGAAATTCTGGAAAACAGGTCTCCGGCGAAGTTGGTTACGGCGGAGGGAGTTGGTTAGGGGTGGCCGGAAGAAGTTGGGGCGGTGGTTGCATGGCTGCCGGCCATGCAACCGGTGAGTCTCCGGTGAGGACAAGTGTCACGGGGAAGTTCTGAGGGGAGCCATGCGTGAAGCCACGTGGGGTGTGATGGGTGAGTGGGTGGACGCGTGGGAGATTAGGGTGAAGTGAGTTATGAGGTGGGGCCTCTGAAGCTGCACGCGTGGCCAGGTTTATATATGGACAAGTGGCAGATTATTGGACAAAAACAGAAAAAAGGAAAACGGACTGAAAAGAACTGGGCCTCCAAACTGGGCCCACGAAAATGGCCTGAATAAAATCTGAATGGATTAAATGGACTCACTTAAGACTAAAAATTAAACTAATTAAAACCTAATTAATCTAATAAATCCTAATTAACACCTAAAAAGAGAATTAACCTAAAAAACTCTATTAACCCTAATTAATTTCTAAACTAATAATAAAATTCTAATAATTTCTACTACTAATTCTATCAAATTTCTATTTAATCTCTAACAAAACCTATATTACTTATTTAAAAGAAAATCTATTATTAATAAAAGAAAAATCTATATTCTTTCTATATTATTCTAAGAACATTTAAAAGCTATTTAATATCTAATATATTCTAAAAATGATTTTAAAGCTATTAAAAACATTAAACTCTATAAAAAAAATCCAATAATAGCTAATAAAATCTAGAAAATTCCTAATAATTTCAGAGGGACAAAAATAGTACAAAATCACAAATAAAACCACGAGAGCGCACCAAAATAGCCGGTAAAAATCAATAGACACCGAAATATCCCTAAAAACAACAGCGCGAGCTGAAAATACCGGGAAGAGCACGACTTCCCAAAAATACGATTCTACCTATCTGAACTTGCTAAAACACCTGAGACGCGAGACGAGGACTGTGATCCCGATAAAATCAATACAACTGAAAAATGCACTGTATGCGATATGCGGATGCGAATGCGGTCATGCATCGAAACATAGGGCCAGATACGGGACCCGGTTGGTCAAATTTTAGGGTGCAACACCTTCGACCCCATTTTATTTTACTCTAGATGGCTGGCATGTGTGGGAAATATGATGTCCAGGTATCTGCCGAAGCGATGCATGCGTCAATTTAGATATGTGCAGATCATTCAGAGATTTTCTTTCGAGTCTGCTCCTAACAGCATCGTTCACAGACATCTTGATGACATACTGGCGGATTACAAGAGTCATTTGGTACTAGAGTAGTATCAGAGTATGTCAGCCACATCTTAGTGGTCTTATGTAGACGGTTACATGACTTGGTTCTTTAGTGTGTCACACTCTATCATGACACCAAACACTCTTGGACGTCCACCGAGGCCTGCTCATGAGAAGATCATGGAGAATGAGCAGGTTATAGATGACCATGTCATTGATGTGTTGTTGATCTGTCAAAATATTATGCAGATTACGTTTAAGGGCATACTGTTTAGACTGTTTGAGAGATGGTGGTGATGCGGTTACCCTCGCATATACCATTCTTACTGAGTCACAAAATTCCTTTAGTTACCGGCAACAGAAGAGAAGATAGAGGTTAGAGTTAAACATACGCAATAGATTATGCTTTTATTTTCTATATTTTGTGATGTTTTAGTTTTATTTTCCAAACTTTAAAAACTATGGAATGCTTTTTTTTAATTAGTGTATTACATTGTTTATATATATTTGAATCAAATTATAACACTGTTTGTCAGATTAAAATAACATAATAAGTTTTAAAAACTATTAATCTTTATTCATACTTAAGTCGCCATGCGTCCCGACTCAAAATATAAAAGTGGCCATCTGTCCCTCGAGATATATTTAAATAAACTTCCTTCTTCCATAACTTTCTTAACTTTCTCCACTATCAGCATCTTCCGCAATATACTATTTTAATTTCTGTTTAAACAAGCAACGATGTTGAAACAGGGATTACCCCCTTCATCTTCATCGCTGTTCCTGTTCCTGTTCCTTTCTTTCTCCTACGCAATAGCTTTCACTCCACCTCATATCCTGCTCAATCACTTGTCTCAAGGCAAATACCTCACCAATCAGGAACTATGGTTCAATCAGACTCTCGATCACTTCTCTCCCTATGTACTCTACTTTTTCTCCTCTCTCTCGTATTGAAAAAACAAAATTGAACTTATTTTTACATGGTACTTGATGTTAATTTAGCAACAACATGCTTTTATGTTCCGTAGAAGATAACTGCTTTTTTACTTTTTATTTGCTATATTATTGATTGTTCATATTTTTGTTGTTGATATGCAGGATCATCGTCAATTCAGGCAACGTTACTATGAATTTCTAGACTATTTCCGGATTCCGGATGGACCCATTTTTCTGGTGATAGGAGGTGAAGGAACATGCAATGGGATATCAAATAACTATATTGCTGTAAGTTGCAATTCATCTCTTACGTTTTTAGTTTAATCACTTTTTCTTTAATTCCAAAACTGACCCTGGTCAAAATTTCATGGAAATTTCCAAACTAAATTTCTGGTAGGTGTTCTCTGCCAGAAATTTCTGGTACATGTGAAATTGAACTAACTACCGGTCAAAATTTCCGGAAAATTGGATTTTTTTTCTGGGAATTTCAACATTTCCGGTAATATATGTACAAAAATTTTACTATCGGGAATTCCAAAAATTTTGGTGCATATGTACGGTAAATGTTTGAATTTCCTGTAAAAATTCATACAATTTAAGATTTTTTACCGGCAATTCTAACATTGCCGGTACGAACGCATGAAAAAGGACAAAGAAAACTCCCTTTTTAGAAATTTCCTAATAATGTGGTAAATTCATATTTTGGCACAAGCACAGATTCCATCTATTGTTTGTTGGGTCATCAATCATTTTTAATTGGGACCTTTCTTTAGGAGAAACACATATTGGGAGAGACACACTACTCACTCAAAATCTTAAGGTGATTGATATATGGGTTTTCACTGATAAAGTGCTCATTCTCCACTTTTTTAATCAATGTGGGATTTCCAGACACTTTGTTTCTCAACATTTCCAACTCACACTTGTTATTCTCAATGCTGTTGTGACTTGTGACCAACATCACTGGCTTTGACATTCCACTTTTAAGCAAATAAAGAATGATGTGGGTTTTGTGATGGAAACATATTGGTATAAACAATTTTCTGAATTTGTCTTGTTTTATTTATAGGTACTGGCAAAGAAGTTTGGAGCAGCTGTGGTTTCTCTTGAACATCGCTATTATGGAGCAAGCACCCCATTTGATACTTTATCAACGGAAAATTTGAAGTATCTTTCGTCCAAACAGGCACTCTTTGATTTGGCTGTTTTTCGGCAGTATTATCAGGCAAGTTTTACTTTTCTTTTATTTCCTTGGTTGAAGACAATTTGGTAGAAGTGAAATCAATAAAACGGTAACCCAAAGATTTGGTTGAATACAAAAAATTGCAGACCATTTTCTGTTAAAAGACTTTAGTATACTAAAGTTTAGTTAATGTAAGGTATTGACCCGGTTAACTTATAAGTTGCTTGAAACCAAATTGTAAAAAGGTTTGTGAATATTTACCGAAAGGGATTTGTGTGATTATAAATGACATTGAAATATTGATTAAGGTCAGTAATGATCAATGGCATTGATATACTTGTCACAAGATGTTTTATTACTCAACTTACTTAATGGCATTGATATACTTAAGGTCAGTAATGATCAATGGCATTGATACTGGTTGAATAGCATTAGGATGCAGAATAAGTAAAACATCTTTGTGAACTTAAATCGGCTCCTAAGACTTAAAAGATGTTATGAAAGAAGAAAGTTTATCTTAAACTATGAGGAATAGGAAATCAAGTTGCTCATTTGCAATTATTGCTCGGGTACTTGACCCGTGATATGTGGTTTATAGATGCATGTATAATGGTGTCATGTAAATGCATTAGTTTTTTATATGCATGCTTTATTTTGCCTAATGTATGGTAAGTCAAGCAATTTCTTCATGCCAACAGTTCTTCAACATTTTATGGCTATCAATTTATTGTATTTTCTTCTACTCAATGTGTTTTTTTGCAGATCTCTTCAGCTTTTTGTAATGGAAAATGTCAAACTTTCAAATACGTCTTTGTTATGTGTTGTATTTATTATATTGCCTCCCATTTTATGTTATTTTTCCGTAATTTTCGTGTAGGATTCTTTAAATGCAAAGCTGAATCGAAGAGGAGTTGAAAATCCATGGTTCATTTTCGGTGGCTCATATGCTGGAGCACTCAGTGCATGGTTCCGTCTTAAGTTTCCCCATTTAACATGCGGAAGTCTTGCAAGTTCTGCAGTTGTTCATGCTATTCAAGACTTTACAGAATTTGATCAACAGGTGAAGATGCTTGTTTTTAGTAGAGCTCCAAGTTCCTTCTTATATAAGGTCTGACAAATTGTGTTATGAGTTCTATATCTATTTGTAGATCGGCGAGTCAGCTGGTGCTGAGTGTAAAGCAGCATTACAAGAAACTACTCAACTCATCGAAACGAAACTCGCAACCAATGGAAAGGCACTGAGGGCAGTTTTTAATGCAGATGATGTATGCTTTGTTCCTTGCAAAATTAAATTAGTCTTCCCCGAAAACACGAATCATGTTCTCCTACTAGAACTACAATTCTTAGTTATATTCCCATGATGTATGTTGACTTGCATTATTTTGTAGCTTGAAGTTGATGGAGACTTCTTGTATTATCTGGCCGATGCTGCTGTTATAGCGGTAATTCATATGATACTAGCTATTTTTCGAATGCTTTGCAATTCCTTCTACTCAAGCCCATTATATCATCCTCCCTTTCTTGATCTTTGAATGTTACAGTTTCAATATGGAAATCCAGATAAGTTATGCAACCCTTTGGTTGATGCAAAGAAGGCTGGCGAGGATTTGGTGGTATGTTTTTCATAATTCTTTTTTCTTATTCATTTGTGAACATGTATCATGTATGTGTACTCACGCCTCTACCAGATGCTTATGTTATGTTCTATAATTGAAAACTATATAATTCAATATGCAGGATGCTTATGCCAAATATGTCAAAGAGTACTACGTTGGAACCTTCGGCGTCAATGTACAAATTTATGACCAGAAATATTTGAAAAGAACTGCAATCAATAAAGACAGTTCTTCTCGATTATGGTGGTTTCAAGTTTGCACTGAAGTTGCATACTTTCAGGTAGCTCCTTCAAATGATAGCATACGTTCCTCAAAAGTTGACACAAAGTAAGTTCTTGATCTCCACTATTTGATATACTGTTAGGATGTAGAACAGTGGTTAGTTAGAGTAGTTAAAGTAGTTAAGGATTGTTATAGAAGTTAGTTAGTTAGTTCCCTAGCTGAGGTTGTTATAGCCTTATAGGACTATTTGTATAAATAGGAGAATACAATGTAGACTTGATACTATTGAATGTTATAAATCATTTGTGAATAGAGTAGCAACTCTATTGTGAAGGGGAAACCCTTGAGGAGAGCTTGCTCGAATGTTATTTCCTATTTTCTAATAAAGAGTGTTCTTTTGAATTCAATCTTTTCAGCCCTTGCAAGCCAACCAATTGGGTCTTTCCCTGTAAAAGTGGGCAAATTCACCCTTTGTGTTCCTCCATCTCCAAGAAGACTGGTACTTCACAAGTATCCAGCAAGGTTGGACCAATTGGGAACTCAAGAATTGGATTCCAAAGAAAGACCACTTTTTTTGAAAATAGGAAATAACATTCGCGCAAGCTCTCCTTAAGGGTTTCCCCTTCACAACAGAGTTTCTACTCTATTCACAAATGATTTACAATATTCAATAATATGAACTCTACATTGTATTCTCCTATTTATACAAATAGTTCTATAACAACCTCAACTAATAAATTAACTAACTGACTTCTATAACAACCCTTAACTACTCTAACTAACCACTATTCTACATCCTAACATATACTCTTCTTTTGACTGTATTCTTTCCCATTGTTTTATGTATCTTTGTTTTATTGAAGTTTTTTCTCTCTGGGATGTTGTTAACTTCTACAAAATGGTTTCTCATGCAATGCAGATACCATTTGGACCTTTGCAAAAATGTATTTGGACATGGCGTCTTTCCCGATGTTGATGCCACTAATTTATACTATGGAGGCACAAAAATTGCTGGTCTAGTCACTAACCTACGCCCGAATTTTTTTGCTAGTTTCTTTTTATCTTTATTATTAATGATATACATACAAATCTATCAACAATGTGTTTACATGACTCTCTTATTTCTTTTTATGTCATCATTTGTATTTGTGATCTCTCATGTCTGGATACTACATTTCTTTTATGGTTTTACTCTGAATATACTTTAACTCAACCATCTTAAACTCGACCTGATTTAATATATCTCCTAACGTAATGTGTATGCACAGGTTCAAAAATAATATTTACAAATGGCTCACAGGATCCATGGCGTCATGCTTCCAAGCAAACTTCATCAGCTGATAGTGAGTTGCAATTTACTTTTTCTGTCAGTTTAGTCAATAATATTCTTTATCATTGCCATCACTGTGGCAATATGTCAGCTTACATTTATCTCAAATCCAACATGAATTGTTTATTTGATGGCTTGACAAATGACTGATTTCCCATCAAAGTAATGTGTTCAGTTTTTTATGGCATTTACGGTACATAACCTAAGTTTTGTATACTGTGATACACAAATGGTTGATTACTGCCGCCAAGATACTATTTCAGCACCGCCACCGTAGCCACTATTCTTAGGGTATATTGACCTTTGCCCACTGATGTGTCTTACGCCTTCACCGCAATACCATGCTCCAAAACTTAAGTTGTGTGCTAGAAACGCTGCCTCAGTTGTTTGTAGGATAGCCACATTATCTAGTTATAGTCTTAGGTTTGTTTATTTAATAAAGGGGGAAAAGAAGAGTTCCGAGTCATATAATATGATACAATGCAGAACATTTTTATTTATCTGTTCACTGACTTAAACGTTAAAATCTTTCAGTGCCTTCTTACCTTATCACGTGTAATAACTGTGGCCATTGCACTGATTTGAGTGGGTGTCCTCAATCTCCTTCGAACATTGAAGGTATGTGTAACATTATCACTCAAATTAATGTCATTCTGAATTCTTTTTGATGTCTAACTTGCAATTTCATAGGAGCTAACTTTGTAACGGTTATCCATTATCAGTATCTGAATTGCATGATCACAAAAACATCATCCATCAAATCTCATGGATAAAAAAAACGGATTAAAAATAGTAGTATTAAAATGTCATGTTAGATAAATACAAATTATGCCAGTTTCTTGTTACATGCACAATTATCGTATATCAAACAACATTAACATTCTGGTTGTGATTTATGTTTTTCCAGGTAATGAGAAGAATTGCAGTTCCCCTGATGCAGTTCATAAAGTAAGGCAAAAGGTTCAAGAAGATATGGACTTATGGTTATCTGAATGCATCGACACAGGAAGGAGTTTTATATGATTAATTGCATACGAGGTGCACGAGACCATAAGTTATGACTCCACGAAATATGCATCACACTTTGTATTAACTCAACAATCGTATGGCTGAACATATGTGTACACAGAGTGCTTTTATTGAGTGTATGATGATTTCATCCCCTGATAACAGTTGTGATCCTTCCATTTATTGTTCATTAATCATTTTGCTTTGTCATGTTATTGTTGTACTTGGTGAAAGAATCAACACAAGCCAACAAGTACTTGTAACCATGTGAACAAGTGATAGGAGCAGGACCCTAAACATCACCAAAAATCAATTCAAATGGGGCATGATAAGTAGTCGTTTAAGTAAATGAAGGTAACATGTCATATTTTCATAGAAAACAAACAATACAAAAATCCAACTTCGATGGTATATGGATAGGAATATTACAAATGTTGAAAATAATTTTGAACGCTTCATGATGATGAGTGATGACCTACTCTATTGTGTCACGTGGTGTAAGATTCATGATGATGACCACATTAGGATGAGATAGTGACAAAGACAAACCACATTAGGATGAGATAGTGACAAAGACAGACCTTAAGTAAGATTCACTGAGAGGTTCAGTAGTCATTTTATCGAGTCATTCAAGCCTAGCTTCACGCAAAATCAAATCAGCATCATTTCTGCAACAATCATAGGACACATGTATCTCGATGATAAAGATTAACTTCAGATCATGACACTCTGCACAAAGTTTGTTAAGAGTTGCTTCAACTTGACTACGATGCAAAATTTGATCACTAAATGATTCGAGAATTTGTTGAATTTTAGCTAGATATTAAGAAAGAGATTTGTCTCCTTTCATAATAGATTTTAGTTTAAAACATAATTGACATGTGTTACACCCTCATTTTCACCTTTACATTCGTCATATCACACATTATTCCATTGCATATCGAGCATGTGGGTTCACAAGGTAAGGTTTGGGTCGGTTCATTGTTTTCCACTTCAAATATGAGACAATTTGCTTATCATGGACTACTTGAGAAAAAAGGTCCTTCACCTAAGTTTTGATCTAAGATGGAAAGTCTACTCATGTAGATTTCTTCAAGGAGAAGTTACTTGAAAATGTTAGGATATTTAAGATCAATATTCTTAATGAACATGAATGCAAGGCCTAATTCAAGATTGCTTCATCCAACTTTGTTTCAAATTCTTTATCAAGTGGAGTTCAAATTTGCAAAGTATGAGTCAAGATCACAAGTGCATAATTCAAGACTTCATATAATGACATAAGGGAATCCATCATTCAAAGTTCAAGATTCATGAATTCAATACTAGATTCAAGAATATTACAAAGAGAAATTTCATGACATTTGCAAAAGTGTCACATTTGTTACAAAGTTTCAAGCTCTTGGTAATGCTTAGAAAATTAAGCTACCCCTAGTCTTAATCCAAGCTTCTAATTAATTTCATGCTATGGTACCTTTCATTCCCCAACAAGTTTACATGTCCAACATTATGCTTGCAAACATCCAAAGAAAATATTCAAGAGCTAACTCAACATTGGAATGTTTCAAGATCAAGATTATGCATGCTTATTCATGGGCAATATGAAGGTAATCCAAAACAGCCCCATGCAAGAAGTAACAAGTTGCCTCATGTCACAAAATATACATGTCACAAGACCAAGGGAATAGCGTGTGACAATGCATCTAAAAATCAGAATTTCAAAATTCTGTCCAAAGGTTAACATTGACCAAGAGGGTAGTCCAAGCATAAGCCAACAAAGAGGTGAAAGGATTGAGGGCAATGTAGAGGGTTGTAAAAAAAGGCAGCATGGGAAAGTAGTGCAAAAAAATGCAGCATAGTCATATACATGGAAATGGAAAGAAAGAGAGTGACATGAGAAAAGGTGGTAGGAGACATTACCCCATGAAAAATCTGATGTTTGGGGAGAAGGGAAAACCCTAGAAAAATAAGATAAGAAGGGAAGGGGCTGTAAACAAGAGAAGGACTCTTTACACATTCAACATCCACTACACATTGCAAAAAACCAGAAAAAATAGAGAGAGAGAGAGAGAGAGAGAGAGAGAGAGAGAGAGAGAGAGAGAGAGAGAGAGAGAGAGAGAGAGAGAGAGAGAGAGAGAGAGAAACCCTAGAGAGAAAACCAGAAAAAAAAGAGTGAGAAAGAAAACCAGCAAGAAGCAAGAGAGTTCTATAGAAACCCATAGAGAACCTTTGAGGAGAAGCACCTTCAAAGCATAGAAGGAAGAAGGAAGAAAACACACAACCAAACTAGTGGAAGCTTAACAAAGAAGGAGGAAGCTCTTGGGTATCCATTTCGAACTCTTTCTCTCTTTATATTTCTGCACTTGCCATTTATTATCATTTGTTAAGTGTGTTTGTGCTGGGTGTATTGTGTGAGGTCCCAAGGGAACCAAGAAACCCTTTTTAAGAACCAATAGAAAGGAGAGAAAACCACAAAAGACAGCAAAAAAAAGAGAAATATTGCATTTTTTGCTTCAGGTCGCGGCGCGACCCATGTTCGCGGCGCGAACATGCAAAAACCAGAATGAAAACTTTCCCAGTTCGCGGCGCGAACATGCAAAAACCAGAATGAAAACTTTCCCAATTCGCAGCGCAAACACCCTTCGCGGCGCGAACATGCAAAAAACAGAATGTTCACTTTTCTCAGTTCGCGGCGCAAACTGATCAGTTTGTTTATTTTTTTTGCTGTTTTTACCGTTTTTTTTACATGTCTCGATTTTTTTTAGCCGACTAACCCCATATGTTTGTATGATTTTAGTATGTGAATATTGTTATTGTCCTTGATGACTTTTGATTCCAAAAACCATTTTCAAAAACAAACTCTCGATTTTATCGAGCCATTTTTAACCTTGTAAGTCGGTTGTCTTATGCACCGCCATCGACCTTGATCGCATCACTTCAAACATCTTTACAAACAATAAACCTTGATCCAACGTCAAGTGGTTCTCTTTTCTCATAAAAATTCAAAACACAATAAAATTATACGATTAGAATTATGCACCATGAACTTTAAAGTGGTGGAGAAGGAATGAGAATGGAATCCTCTTACACTCATTCCGAATATTTTGAATACAAGGCGCTCGACTTGGTTATTCGAGACATTCATCTTTATCCAAAGTCTTTTGTATAATCCTAGTCAAGAATAAATTCTTCCCTAAAAAACCTAAAAACAACATCAACTCATCAAACTTCTTTTACCTTAGGGCGTCAATCCGAAAACTCTTTTTCAAAGTATAAAATCGACCAATACACAATTATTTCTTAAGTGGCCGAACTACGGCTGCTCTGATTTCTCACACATATTGAGAATACGTAGGCATAGGATTGCGATGATCCTAGCGAGCACAATTTTCTTTCTTTCCCATATTTAATCATCCATACCCTTTAACCCAAGGACATGTTACGTTCGTTCTACCGCAAACAGGTAGGTAACGCATAAGACTCCAAGAGCGAGCCGCAATACACCTAACTGCTAGAATGCGCACGATAGCATCGTCCACCCAACATCCTATTTTCCACCGTAGTCCCATGAACTACGAACGCTCTGATTCTTCACTTCATACAAGTGAATATACGTAGGCACAAGGGCCCCAATCCTTGACGAGCATTAAAATAAATAAACCAACCCCTCTTTTCCTTAAGCAAGCAAACTCTTAATAAAAATACCCATTCACGCTAAATAACCTAGGAGGTTTCCATCGAGTACGATGGATGCGAGGGGGTGCTAATATCTTCCCCTTGCATAACCGACTCCCGAACCCTAAGACTTGGTTACGATGACCATGCTCCTTTCTCAAAGGTTTTATCGCTATTTCTCTTTCCCTCCTTGGGATAAATAAAATCTGGTGGCGACTCTGTGTCATTTTTCGCATAGCGACAACATGACTTTGCGTTGATTTGAGTTTTCTGAAATTAATCAATGGTGTTCAATACTTTGTGTGCTTAAACACAACTTCAACAAACAATTACTTGTAATAATGGTTTTTTTTTTCTATTTGTTTTCCGAGGGAAATATATGCAGGGTAAAACATGAAAACTTTCTGAATAGTTTCAATTTCATGAGAAAATTCACTGAGAGTAATGCTTAAGCAAGAGAAATTTATCTGCATTTTAATTTGTATAAGCAAACTAGTCAACAACTTTAATTTGATAGTATAGACAGCAAAGAAAAGCTTTGATCATTTACTCATGTCAAAATAGGAACATATCCAATGTCCTATGTAAACTTGGAAGCTGAACACCAGATATGCAACAAAACACAATCATTGTTTTGCCTCTAAAATTCCAGTATGTGTGCTCTCATTTAAAATTTAAATAACAGAAAACAAAACCCAATTCCACAAGAAAAGCTATAATTTGACATCTAGATAAGGTAAGTGATGACATTGTGTAAACTTCCACTGCAAAAACTGGTCTTCAACTACAAACTCAGCAGTCAAATTGAGATACATAGCTTTAGCCTTCACCTAAGATAGGTTGATGAAATCCACAATAAAACATATGTTATCAATGATGTGATCACTTCAAATGCCCTTGGTCCCTTAATTACAGGAATAGGAGGAATTACTGACACCATCAAGAAGGTTCCCAATAGCCACGAAAAGATAAACGCTCCAACCCTGCAAAAAAACGCATCATAAATGCATCAAATTTTAAAAGGGAGAGGGGTACATTGTCAAGTGAAGTGTGCTTAATATATTAAGAATGAGATGAATCACTGTTTACATACCCATAAAACAAAGCTCTTAACTTGCTCTTCAGCCGATCATATACGAAATACGTTGTGGCAATAAGAGATAAAGCTACCTGAAGTGTTGGTCCTTCCTCAGTTGGAAAGAAGACAGTCAGAACACCAAGTAACAAAAATGCCAGTGAAGTTTTTATAATGAATATGGTGGATGGAATGCGAAATCTGCCTCTGACAGCCTGAACAAATCGGGATTGATTGACTGCCCTAAATTTTTTCTTGAAGTCAATTTTTGGGTTTCTACGCTCATAGAATTTCTGCATGATTATTTTGTCATGAGCCGACTCAATTGAATCTACGCTTGGCTTGTGCCCTGCATATTTTTGGATCAGGAAGTTCCTAGCTCCTTGAATTTCTTCTTCAGAAGCTTCCTTGCTTATTCCAAGTCGTTTATACGGATCACTCACACTAATTCTTGGGAAAACAGCTGCATTTGTATCAAAGGAGCGGCAAAACAATAAGTTAGGCTATAATATATTGTTGGTTTTATATAAGGTGGTTCAAATATCATATGCAAGGTATTGATTCCTGTGAATGCAATACAGAGAGGATGCCGCTAAGATATGCAGGTAAACATGTCTTACATATTCCAGAAAAAAGGTGTGAATGGATCATCCCGTGTTGAATGTTCAGGTAAGACCTTGTTATGTGAAATTGTGTCTCTCTGTATGTATAGTAGACATTAAATAAGCGGGTTCTATCAAAATAAATGAATAACAATTGAGAGAGATTTTCACGTAACAAGGCCATGGCTTGTGAAAATTTAACATGAGAGGGTCCCTTCCCGAGGGTGAGGAAGAAGGGAAACAGTCATTCTGGATAAACAGTAAGGCGCTATCTGTCTGTCATCCATAAAGCAGTTGTTTAACTGGAAAACAGTCACCAGCACCCCATGCCAAGAAAAATAAGGCAAAACTAAACTGAAACAATTTCCTCCTTGGAACTCCTTATGGTTTAGCCCCTTGCTCTATTGAGCTTGTAATGCATCATTCAATTTTTGCTGTATTTTAGTTCACTTCTCAGACACCAACAATTATGAATGATGTGCTCAAGCAATATGAAGCAGTGTTGTTGATGGCAGATGGTGGTGCATGGCGGAGAGCCAAAATCCCGCCATAACGGCCGCTTTGCAGTGTCGTTATAGCGGATTATGGAGGAAAAACACGCAATATGAGCTGATATCTACTATTGCAGCGAGCCAAAAAACCGCCATGTATATCCGCCATGTCAGCCATGGTGCCGCAATTTGATAACACTGATATGAAGAGGAAGAGATGCCTTCAACTCAGCAAACCAATGAGCAAGACCACCAGCAAAAAATGTAGTCTAGCATCCATAATGTTCACATAATCATTTTCAAGTTTAGTTTATTTTTACGATACCTATTGTTTCAGAATAACGTAGGTGCTAGTACTATTTAACTTAAACCCCAGTTTTACTAGATCCTGATCTTGCAATGAAATTTTATGTATCATGAAATATCAAAATTGAGCTTCAACAAGATAGAAAAGTTACCCGTAGAATCATTTGACGTATCACCAAATGAAGCGTCCGTGGCACTTCTAACTAATTGAACCTGTTGTCTATTGCATTTTATTCTAGGAGATGAAAAACTTGTTCTGTAAATTGACAAGATGAGGAGAATAATGAATTATTAACCATTCAACAAAACATGAACCTTGCATCAAGTTCTAAGTTCAAGAGGTAATGATTAATAAGGCAGACCTTTCAACTCCGGGAAATGTAGTCCCTTGTATACATCTAGTAGCCACGGAAAAAGGTCTGACCCGAACACGGCGTGATTCTAGGCAACGAGGAGGTAATTGGGGGCATCTTGAGAGCGTACCACTCAACCCAGATACAATCATTGTTATAAAAAATATCCAGAAAATAAGAGTCTATCTGATTTTGCCCGATGAGAACAGAGATTGCAGCTGGAAGCTATAAAATTCAAACACACAAGAGAACCAATGAACAACCCAGGACAAAGAGAATAACATCAAGTAAACACATATAAATACAGAGTAGTTATACATTGAGCAAACCCTCAATTTACTCCCCAAACTAACACCGTCTCTCCTACTTAGTCCCTCGACTATACGAAAAGAACAAGTAGCCCCTAAAGTTGTGAAGTCCAGTTTAATTAATCCTTATGTTCGGATATCATAAAATGAACGGAACAGAATGAAGCAAAGCGGAGTGAAATGTAACGGAATGAAGATTCCATTCCATTGTTTGGAAATTTCAGGACGGAACAAAACAAATTCTTCACAAATTTATTCATCGTCAACCCTAAAACAGTGCGCAATTAGTTTAAATAAAGTCATGTCTACAATGCAAATTTATCCCAAGCAAGGTAACACCATTTTTTCTAGCAAAACACCACTAAAAGATAAGATTACATACATATCCTATTGTGTTAATCAAATTCAAGTAGAATAAAACTCAAGTTGATTCTATGGCAATAAGAATGGTAGTTAATATAAAACAACAGTAGCGATGCAATTTGGAAAGAAAGTAGAACCTCGTAGAAATCGTAAGGGGAAATTGAAGGGAAAGTGTATTTGTTTACCTTTGGCGTTAGAAAAAAGGGGAAAGTGTTTGGGTTGTTGAATGAATGATGGTGGTTTTTGAGAACGTTGGAGGGGAAGAGTGTGGGAGAATGAATGAACTAACAACGGATAGCAATCGAAGAACGAGCGAGAAAGGGCTTACCAAAGGACACACCAAAACCCTGCTTGCTCCATCCAATATTTATGTAAATTTAAATTATGTATTATATAAAAGTTTATAATTTTTCACTTCGGTTAATTTTAATTTTTCACTTTCTTTTCTTTCAATGTAACAATTAGAGCTCTTAAAAATGTGCTATCTGACCCTAAATTGATGGGCTCTTATGGCCTAACTAACTTTGATAGTTTGTAAGAGCAATCAAACTCAAATTTGTTTTGACTTAAATAATCTTTGTCTTTTTGTATCTGTATGCCTTTTAAAATGTAGAGAAAATAATAAAAATATTTTTATATTGCCAAATAACAATGTCTATCAGATAAATCACATGTTTATTTTTAAAATACTGATATAATTCTATTAAATGTGAAAAACAATTTTATTGTGATATCTTTAATATGTAAAATGTATTACATACCGGTTAAGAGGAGGTTTGTTTTAATTTTTAAAAAAAAAAATTAAATGATTTTTATAAAAAAAAATTAAAAATATTACAAATTTTTAAAATTTTTTTTTTCAAATTAAAAGAAAATTTTGAATATCTTATAACATAAATGTAATACATTATTAAAGACCAAAACATAATCGAAATCACAATTTTTTAAAAAGTTGTATTTTAAAATTTATTTAGAATAATTTTAAAATTAAGTAATTTTTTAAAATTTTAATATTTCTAAAGAAAACTTAATAAAATGATAAAATACTTAAACTACCATTTTGAAAGAAAAAAAAAACTATTCAAACCAAATTTTCATTTTAAATTTTTATTAAAAAAACATTATAAATATTTTTTACACAAAATCATGTGATATTATATAAAATCTTTTTTAAAAAAAAACTAAAACAAATGTGCCCTAAATTTGTATATATTGAAAAAATATAGCCAGTCATATTTAATTTAGACTCACAATAATAAATTAAGTTTATTATCTAAATTAACATTTATAATTAATAGTAAAATATATAGAAATTAAAGAAGAATGAACATAAGGAAGGAATAAATAAAAGAGTATTATGTGTAAATTCATATTTATAATGGTACCTAATAAGGATATTTATAATTTTATAAGTTTCAATTATATTTTGACCGAATAAAATAGTTTCATATTGTTTTTGAGGTAAAATTAAGAATAATTTATATACAACACTCATACACCTCAATTTAACGAAGAGTATTTTTTAAAAGACAAAGATGTGAGAGTTCTTACACTCAAAGCAGACAATATCTTATAGTCATAGTAGCGCAGACTTGAGTTCGACTAGAATATTGACATTGTTCATGGGAATCAACAATTGATTCCTGCCACTTTTCTACGAAAATCACTGCCTCTTCACTGAAAGACATATCTTTGATCCTCTTCTCATGAAACACTGGTCTCTTTCTCGAATAAATTATATATTGAGCTTGTAAAGCCATGGTGACGTCGAAGGTTACTAGGTGTGTCGCTCAACATCACATCGTTGCTATAGCCTCTAAAGCTAACAAGGTTTCACCTCATCCTTTAGTAGAGGATGATTCCATTTTAGCGACCTTTTTGTTTGTTCTTGTGCAACAAGATCTTGTCCTCCAAGAGCTAGTTGGGGAACCTTTTAAGCCCTTATGTTTTTCCAACCTCTACAAGAGCTTTGCCTAGGCCAATATTTGCAGCAACCTCTGTCACAATCATTAATGCTTGGAAAGATATGTTCTCAAATATTCAACAACTTCAAGCTAGCCTAAGCATGCAATGAGTTGTTGACCTTCTGAATAATGTTTATAACATGGTATAACAACAAAACTATTAAGCCTTGGTGGATAAGATGCCCATAATTAAAAAGAATATATAGTGTGTTCCTTCAAGAACTAGCACCATGCGTGAGGGGGCTTCGCGCAACAACCAATGAGTCATATCGTTGTCGACTCTAATAGATATAGCCTCACAACACATATTAATTTCAAAGACACCGAGTCGTAATTGAAAAAGAAGACATTGCATTTCTTCATCCGAACTTGGAAGGAGAAGTGACAATCATACTCCGCCAGAGATTCCTTGTCCTTATAGCTTACCAGCACACCACTCCCAAAGAAGAGAGAGGTACAATGCATATGCTTCAACCTCTGAACAAAAGAGGAGCTTATTCTTTATATGCATTCTTGACAACGAGATCCTGATGTCCCTTGAGAAGACCCCTAAGCTAGAAAGTTATGAAGGTATAGAGGATCTAGATGAACACGTCGAACATTCGAAAAATATTGATATTACAATACTTACGGATCTATGAAGTGCAAACTCTTTGTATTAACCCTTAAGGGAGTTGTTATGACCTGGTTTAAAACTCTCCCAAATTGGAGCATAGATTGGAAGGAACTGTGCAACATGTTCATTACTCATTTAACCCTCAAAAGTGGCAATCCACCATTATGGTTGCACTCAGCAGGATCATGCAGAAGAAGAAAGAGACTCTATAGGAGTACATTGATTGATTCACCAAGGTGGCAGTGGAAGAAAGCGGTACATATGACATATTAAAACGTTGGATATTTAAAAAGGGACTGAAGTTAAATTGCATGTTCTTAGAAAAAATATGGATGAAAGGAGCTTGCACCTTAAATGACATGTTGAATATGGTCCAACCCTATATCAACTACGAAGAATAGCTCTTAGCTGAACAGAAGCCCCAAGGGACAAGAAACCTCGGATACGGATAGAAACCAGAAAAAAATAGTAATCATCGCAAAGATGATGGATAGTGGAAAACCCCGTGCCATATTTTTTACATACATTCCTTAAAACACATCGAGGGAGAAATTTTGGTCATAATGTGAAAACACTAAGTTCAAAGAAGATGAGATCAATAACCCCTATCTAGTTAGAGAGACAATTGGGACAAAAAAACTCAAAATACTACAACTTCCACAAAATCCACGACCACGTCACTAATGAATGCGTCTATAACAGCCCAATTTTCAATAATTAATTATTCATATTAATTAATTGATTTATTTAGATTATTTTAATTATTGGAAATATTGGATGATTAATTAAATAAATTGATAGATATTTTTGAGGGAAGAATTATGATGGAAAGAAAATAGAAGAAAAGGATATATAAGGGAAATTTAGGAGAAAAGAAAAGAGATAGAAACATAAGAGAAAGAATAGAGAAAGAAGGAGAAAGAGGAGAAAAGAGAGGGAGAAGAAGGAAAAACTTGGAAAAGCTCAAGAACAACTTCTAGCTCCGATTTAATCAAGGTAAGGGTGTGAAATGTTGTTATTCTATCAATGTTTATGATTATGTATGTGTTTATTGGTTGATTGAGATTGTTGGAGAGTTTCTACCATTTTCCATTCTAGGGCATAAAAGAGGTTTAATCGGTTAGAATCGAGTCTTGAACGGTTAGAATCGAAAATAAATTTCGTAGTTTAGTCGGGTAATGCTTAGCCGTGGTTATTGGACTTCGTTTGATCGAATTTGGTTGAGTTTGTGAGTTTTGATATTTTTGGATAATTGGAGGTTAAGATTTTGGATGAAAATCGAAAGTCGTAGAATTTGCATTTTATGATCCTAAAATCTTACTATATGATTGGTAATGATGAGTAGGTATTTAGTCGGGAGAAAATAATTGAATCGATCGGGTTTTTGGTGCAAACCCGTAGCTGTTTTTCCAAGTTTTTTAGGTGTTAACCAGTTAACCATATACGTTAACCGATTAACACAGTGTTATGGCCTAAAAAACTGAGTTTTTGGCCTAAAAACTGAGTTTTTGGAGCGGTTAACCATATACGTTAACCGATTAACACTGTAAGTGTGAGAAAAATATTATTTTTTCAAAACTTCAAAAATTCATATCTTTTGATCCGTAAGTCGGTTTTAGTCCCCGTTCGAAGCGTTGGAAAGCTAAAGAGATGTTCTTTCTAGGAAAATGGTTTTTATGTTAGTGTATGATCCAATTATAGCAGAATATTTGAAACGTGTCATTTTGTCAACTTTTACCGTCATGAACGGGTGCGTTTGATGTGTTATCATACTGTATGCTTTCGATATATAATGTGTAGCTTGTGTGTTGTTATATATTATGTTGTGGGAAGCCATATAGCGTGAATCCTAGATTATGAGTTATGGTCTTTTGACAAATATAATGCATTGTTTAACTTGA